GGAGGAGCCGCGAGGTGGAACCAAGCCTGGCGCCAGTGGTCCAGGCCCTTGGTCCCCGAGGCGGATGGAAGGACTGATGCTTCTTTCTCTTCACAAATACCTCATGGACGTCGTCTTCGGGAAAGCCGGAGGGGGGGCGGCTGGGGCAGGGCCTGTCCCTCAGCCAGGGCCGATGGAAGCCGGTGGGCAGGGCTGAGAGAGGGTGTCAGGGACTGGGGCGAAGAGCCCCCCATTCCCTGCCCTCCCAATCAACTGAAAAAGCTTTAAAAAAAAAACAGGAAAGAAGGTAAAAAGAATGGACGAAGGAAAACTAACAAACTTTCGGGTGGTTTGATTCCTCTGATTTCCTTTTCTGTTCTCTTCCGTCTGCTCTCCTCTTGTCTCCTTTCTTTGCTCACCTCTCTGTCTCTCCCTCTCCCTTCATTCTTCTCTCACTTCTATCTCATCTTTTCTGTGTCTCTCCTCAAACCAAAGTGTTGCTGTGAAGGACGTGAGCCATGGAAGTCAGAGTGGCCCCCGCCCCTCGCTGGGCAGAGCAGAGCAGAGGGAGGGGAGAGCCCGGGAGGGCAGTGCTGCTGGACACTCCCAGGAGAGGCAGACAGAGCCTCGGACGGACGCCACCCTGGGCCTCAGCGTTCTTTTTCTCTCGTCCTCCCCTTCTCCCACCCGGGAAATGAAACTTTTAGGCTGGGCCACGGAGGCAGCAGAGACTCAGCTGTTGCGGAGGTCTGGGGTGCCTTGTCTGGGCCTCCCCTCCCACCCTGGCACCCACAATGGGGCCTGGCGTGCCATCGACCAGTCTTCGCCGGAATGTAAGCATCTCCGCTGAACCGACTCCCTGCCCTCACCCTACCTCTGAGTTTGTCCATTTTTATTTCCCGAAGAGAAGAGACTGTCAAGAGGGCCTGGGCCCCAGCCCAGGGGTGGAGAGGGGGCTAAGGGCTCCTGAACAGACAGGAAGGACATTCGAGCAGAGCAAAGTGAAAGGAATTACAACCAAAAACCCCTCCGAGAAGACAGGCAGCATGGAAGGCATGGTGGAGATGACTCGAACAAAAACTATGATTCTAGAACAAAAAAAAAAAAAAAAAGAAAAAAAAAGGAAAAAAATCCAGGACTCACCACCACCCACTTCATCCTGCTTCCTCCCCATCAAGTCCTGCCACCTGGGACCTCTCCCCCACCCCAGTGTGGGGGGCATGGGGCAGAGAACAGAGGAGGAAGCAGGGGGCAGGGATGGGGCCTGACACTGGTGGAGGGACCCCCGTGCAGCCGGGGGGTGGTGGGGACCTTCCCCATCCAACCCCCATAACTGGGAAAAGAAAAACAAGAATAAAAGAAAATTCCTGGGAGGGGGAAAAAAATAACCAAATCCCAAGCTTTAACTACAGCTGTGAAACCAAATATTGGGAAGGGGGTAGGAGGGAGGGAGGGGCAAGTGTGCCCCAGGTCTCCCCCCTGGGCCCCCTCCCCTGAGGACTCGAGATAAGGCACCAAATACCTCATAGAACTTTAATGTTAAAAAAGGAAACCAAATATCGTTGGCTGGGGGCCAGCCAGGGCAAGGGGCTGGGGGGCAGGAGGGAGCCAGGGTTGGGAAGGTGATGGGGGAATTCATGCCCCCCACCCCCTCTTGCCCCTTCCACTCCAGTCCCCCGTCTCGACTCCAGGAAACAAAACTATCTCATCGTTTTTATTTTGTGGTCTGTATAGAGCCTGTGTCCGTGTGTCTGTGTGTGAGCGAGAGAGTTGTGGAGGTTAGGGAATGTTATGTTGGGGCTGGGGAGGGAACCCCAGGCCAGGCTCTAGACAAGGTTTGAGGTGGGGGGCCAGGGGCCTGGGCTAAAGAGAGGAAGATGACTGAGTTGGAGAAATGGGGAGCCCTCTGAATTTCTCTTCTCCACAACCTGGACCTCCTGCTTGAGGGAGAGACAAAGACGGGGTCTACCGTAACGGTGGGCCTTT